ATGTAAGTGGCTATTGTTTGAGACGAACAATACTAATGAAGGAGCAGTGTCACGACAGCGGAAGTCACGTGACGCTGGTAGCACGTGATGAGTTTCTAAAAGGATCGTGAAGGCCAGAGTGCATTCTAGACGCCCTCTTTTTTAGTATATAAGCCCAGCAAATAAAGCGAGATAAGAATTGCAGATAGACAGATATAGAGATAGATAATTGAATCAAGTGAGCTGTAGGTACCGTAAGTAAAGTGCGTGAATCGTTGTGAATTATAGCGTGTGTTTATAAAAGTAGTTAACTTTAAAGTGACTGTGGAAATTAAGTGTATTACAAAGTTTGTAACGAGAAAGAATAAACTAGTTTTAATTAATTAAGGACTTGTATCGCTCGGAAAGAAATTTTACGGGAAATTATCAAACAAGCAGATACGTAACAATATATATTATTTGAAAACAAGTGAAGTGTGTGCTGTTTATTCATGGTTGAATTTATGGCTAACAAATCAGAAACACCTACTGTAGAAGAATCCTAAGGCCAACAACAATGTAGTATATATTTATACTATTAAGGAATATATATATAAAAGCCGTTTATTTATTTTTAAAATCTGACACTTGGATTGACGCTTCTGCCTAGATACAAAACGTTATGCATTCCCATTCAACTATTCTTTTAGAGAATTCTTAGTTTAGTATATCCTTGTGGCGGAATAAACTATTAACGCAATACACATATTTAACCGACTGTCTCTTCTATTTGTAATTTTTTTTAGAAAACTGACCATGAAATAACATAAAATAAAGTGATCCCGCTGAATAATAACAGTATTGGTTTGTTATAAAAATAATGATAATAAAAACCAAGCCGTTATTATAACTCGCCTTGTATCATTTTCTTTTGTGAAGGAAGTTAGCTATTACTGGAATATTCTCTGAAAAATAAGACTTGTGCAAAATAATGTGAAGAAAAAGTGAATTTTTTGGGCTCCTTGTGATGGCAGCAGTTAATGTAAAATATAAATTTAAAAGTCTAGGCCAATATATTTATGAAATTTTCATTGATGGCAATCTGTAATTTTAATGGTTTGAGAAAATATTAATTGAAAGTAAACGTTGTTCTATTACCTGATAGTTTCAGCATTAATAATTTATATATATATTCCGCCTCCAAGTGGCACACGGCATGTCTTTGGACTCACAACACTAGAAACCGGGTTTCGATACTCGTGGTGGCCAAAGCACAGATAGCCCATTGTGTAGCTTTGTACTTAACTTCAAACAAACAAATATATGTTCCGTCGGTAATGTTAATTTTCACAGTGTAAGTCATCTGTCTAACGTTTTTAAAAAAAACTTGATGAACCAATTAAGGGTCGTATTCTAGGTTTCATCCGTGGGAAAAGTATCAACCGAAAATCGAGAGGGCGCAGTATTTTCGAGCGCAATATTTATTATTTACCCATGATATAAGAATGTGTAAGTTATATTTGTATTTTTGATAAAATAAAAATGAAATAAAAAAATCACTTAAAATAGTATCAAGGAATAGGTAGACGACGCCATGGTAACACTAACGTATCGAAAACATTCATTTTCCCCTTTGTTTTAATGTTTGTAAAATCCGACTTTTTAGTTTTAGGCTTACCACAGCTAGCCTGCAAGTGTAAAACCTAATGTGTAGGTACTTAATAAGTTAATTAGATTTTGCATTTCTAGTTGTTTGTTTAATATTAGACAGTAAATTTATTCAAGTTATTACAAGTTACAGCATAACACATATCTTCAAGATTAGTTTCATTACAGACTTTGGCTTCAACTACAATTTACACAGTGTTTTTATAAAGCCTTAGAGTTAAAAAGGTGAGTGACTGAAATGTTGGGATGCAAGATAAAAATTATTGAGTGAAAATATTGTGAATTGTAATCCTTTATTTAATTAACATTATCATTACTACTGGGTTCATGCAAAACAACCAATTAAAAGTTTAATGGTGTGATGTACAACAAATAATAAAAGTACTCAGAGTGATGATGATTTTTAAATAAATTTAAGTTTTATAGTTTGAAGTTCAGGAGTTGTGTATTTCCAAATTATGTTTTGTTTTCAGTTTTATGTGCAAGTGAAGTTTGTAGGATGCCACATAGAATATGACTTTTTGGTCTCATGTTTTCTCTTAAACAAAAAGAGCCCATAATTTTTTGCCAAGGTCACGAGTATGATAGATGGTTGTGTTTGCACCCAACTCAAAATTTAAATTAGAAAAAGCCTCATATTTTAAATCAAGCGTATCTGTAGGCTGTTGATAAACAACTAAATTTACATATAAGATTTAAACTTATGGAACAGTGATAAGGAAAATGTAGAATTACCTTTAAACATTTCTTTTTGTGTCTCTAATCATGCTATGTTTGCATTGTACTCTTTCACAACTGTTTAGCTTTGACTGATGCCAGTGAAACTTGAGCGGAAGCTACCAGCATCTGGCCAAAAATCCCAATTTACCCATCAGACAGTGACAGTGTCTGATAACATTTCTGTCTCTTTAGCTGAAATCTAATCAAAACTATGCTATTATCCATCTTTTATAAATAGACCAGAAATTTTGTAAGGTATGGTGGTAATTAGTAAGACATCATGAAAATAATTTCTGCATAATGCTAAAAAATTATGGGTTTAAAGAGTTAATAATTATCAAGAATGTTGAGAGTCATGACAGTAAGTGACCTACTGTTAGACTCTGCAATTTGCTAATGTAAACCTCAGTGCCAGCTGACTTTTATGGAATGTGCAAATGTTTATTATTGTGGGTAGTGTATGATTATTTCACATCTAATTAAATGGGAAGGTTTTAAAACAGTTTAATCAGGTGTTAAACTTGCATGATTGATATGTAATTATTCTAAAGCTTGAAGCAGATTTTGAATGTTCGAGAATTTCAATTTTCTCTATGCATTTGGAGCATTTAAATCAGCTGGCTGTCACAGCTAAGCTTCACCTTTACTCCCAACAAAATGTTAAACAAAAGCCCACTTCCCAGCTATAATGTATTTCTGTTAGTGGTATGTAATTGTTGTCAATATTAATATATATACATATTTTTTTCTTTTCAGTCTGAAAACATACCAAAACATCAAATGGTTGAAAGGACAGATGAAACAGTTTCATGTTGTTCTACTCTTGGTTATCATCAGTGTAATTCTTCTCATAATTCAACTGTTGATACTTCATACTTTGATTTATGAGGTAACACTGATGTCTATGCAGTAATAGTGTTTTTGTATGCATATTCTGTTTGTTAGTTGCATTATCAACATATAATTTTTCTTGGTAAAAAATTTAAAAATCTGCTTGAAAACTTGCTGTTTTGATTGTTTTTAATACAAGAACAACCATCACAAGAATAAGAAAATCATATCATTTATCACAGCATGCTGGCAACAACAGAAGCAGTGCTGAAAATAATAATCAGTAGATCAAATATTACAAGCTAATATAGTTAATCCTATGTCTAATTATTTAACATATTAATATTAGTAAAGTCATGTAGCTGCTATTAAACGTGTACAGTATATGTTGGAATAATCAGATGTAATGAGTGTTACAGGGGCTTTATTTAACAGTGTCTACTCAAAATTATGCATGATATATAAATAGTTCCATAGCAAACACAGCTTCTGTGTCTGCAACCCTGGGCTCATTGTGTGAATACCACAAATGTTTACATAATTCAGAAGTTGAATAGAACCCAAAACAATTTATAGGGTATACATTGTATATATAGTGTTTAATAGTTGTTTAATTCTTGGCTTTTTATTATATTATTACTGTCAACACATGTATGTGTACTGTTTTTTAATGATAAACATCCACATAAAGCTATATTTTGTGTTTTCTAGGAGAATAAAGAACAGTATACAACTGATCCTGTTTGGGTAAGTATAAAAATTTCTGCTTGCTTATCGTTTACAGTTGAATAGTATTGGAAAAGTGTATATGACAGTAAATCAGGGTTTGGAGACAGCCAGGCTTAGATACATTCTTTAAGGAACTTACTTTTATCTCATTTCAGTAGCAAGAATTCTTCTCCAACAATAACAGGATATGGACAACAAAGGAATATTTGGTCCTTCAAAGCTATCTTTTCACAATAACCCTTGAAAAAATTAAGAATTTAAACCCACTTTCATTGCATATGTTATTCACTCCATTAGAAAAAATATAGCTGTCATAACTGAAGTGTAGCTTGTCTTTTCCAGAGAGTAATAATACAAAGAAATCATAGGCCTTTCTCCTATTGATTCCTTGAATAATCTTCTAAACTTCAGTAAGATCACATATTACCATTCTTTTCTCAAGAGAAAATAAAAGATCTTAATCTGTCCCTATAAGATAACCTCCAAATCATTGATATAGTACTCCTCTAAATTGTTTCCAATAAGTCAGTATTCTTTATTAGATAATTACCTCTTTATGACTTTTAGCCAAGATGTCTATAAGTACACCCACAATTCTATTAGTTTGATTTCTAGCAACAGAGCACTGTCTTGATGGCTTATCCAACATTATGCCAAGATCCCTTTCTTCAGTCATTGCCATTAAATGGGTTCCTATTTATATTAAAAGTGTGATCAAAATTATGGTAACTCAAATGCATTACCTTGCATTTAAAATAATTAAAAGTCTTTTGCCATATATTTGTCCAAATTACCAAGTGATCTTCAATATAGCCAGAAATACCCAAAGATTTGATATCATCAGCAAACTTTACTAATATATTATTTATGCCCCTAACAATATCATATTTGTAAATATGAAAAAGAAAAGGTCAAAGTTCTGACCTTTGTGTCATTTCGTTATTAACAAGGGTCCAGATTGACTGGACTTTATTATAACAACCTTATGCTTTCTGCCTACAATCTGATTAACTAGTCTTCCAAATGCTTGCCAATATGATTTTCTTAGCTAATGTTTTATGTGGCACCAAATCAAAAGGTTTTTGAAAAATTTAAGTACACCAAGTCCACACCCTTTCAATCATCATAGTTAGACATGAATTTCTTTTGGTGAATCATATTGGATTTAATTTATGATATAATATTTCACTAAATTATTTTATAAAGCTTCTTTTATCAACTGCTCTAGAATTTTTCCAACTATAGAAGTAACATTACCAATTCCGATATGATATGTACCTCCTTTCACACAAAAGCTTTTCCCAATCTTCATCTGCCTTCCAATGTATTGAAAAGATACTTATTCTTGCTACACTCACTAGCCTTTATACCCCTTCAGTTCAAGCTGCTCATTTAGCATGCATAGTGCATTTGTTGACCCTCCACCAATATGAGCACAACACACACTCCTGGAGCAGCTGGCTCCCTCTGTATTACATTTCGTATACCTCACTTTCTCAGTTGGCACCAAGTCGTTCAATTTGGTGGAAGTTTGTCCTTCTCCTCCTTTCCTCCTATTACTTCCAGCTCCTCCAGTGGCTTGATGGTAAAGTATTTCAACTTGTATACTACAAACTGTACCTGCGGTAGGCATGGCTTGGGAGCCCATTGTGTGGCTTTGTCCTTATTTCTACACTTGAGCATTAAACATTTCATGTCATCAATGTTCTGACTTTGGTAATTTGTTGGTAACCAACAATCCATCTAACTTGAAGGATTGCTAGTTAAATATTTTTTGGTACTTTGTTTTCTTTGTATATTTAGACAGTTTGTAAATTCGATATTAATAATTCCTTTGTTGACTAGATACATTTTCATGGTTTTTCAGTTTGATATTAAAAAGTACTTTGTTCACAAGGTATGTGTAGCTAGTTTATGTAACTTTAATACTAGTAACATATAATTTATGGTTATCCCTGAAACATTCTTTTTTTAGTCATTGATGGCACCTCTGTTTGGATACCTTGGTTTATCTGGTGGTATTTCATTCTTTCCATTGGACAAATGTTGTTTGGTGGTAGGACAGTTATCATCATTCAGGGGAGGTGTTATTCTTCCACCCCCTTCTCAGGTCTTCTGTCTTTCATCAATGCTTCTCTTGTAGTTTAGAGAACATATCTTGATACCCTGGATATTTCCAGATACTGGGCTTTGGTGAATCTGTTCTTCATTTCTCAGTTTTGGCACTCTTCACTGTTTGTACAGCACTATCTCTTATATTCCATCTTTTGTGAAAGAAGATGGTTTTTGTGTATTTTGCTGACTTACACGTGGTCTTCTACTTCTACAAGCAGGTGGGTATGTAGTCCTGGTTCCTTTGTAGTTACAACTTCTGGGCCTGCATACACAACATAATGCTCTGGCCATAGAGTGGTCCCTCCATCCTCCAGTTGTCTGGTGGTTATGCTCTCTTCTGGGCACTCATCCATCTCAGTGGCATCCTACTATCTTTCTGGTCTTCAATTCCTTGGCCTCTGGCTTTGGGCTGGTCTGCTTTTTTTGTCTAGTATGTTAGGGCTTTCCATTTTATGCCTTCCTACATCTTTTCCCCTAACTTATTTCCTTCATCCACACCTCTCCATGTCAAGTTCACTTGGTGGCTCAGCCTTGGTTCCCCTCCAGAGACCTTCACTGCCTGTAAAGGAGACTCTGCCTTCTCACCTTTCTCCTTCCCTTTTCTTTCCCATATTCGTTCCTGGTCGGTTTGGGATTGCCTTCTGTTTCCTGTGCAGGCTCTGTGGGACTATGCTGCTCATATGGCTTCCTTTTGTGGTTCCTGTTCCCATTTGTTTCTTCCCTGGAGCCATTTGGTGTCTTTTGACCTTTTCTCCATTACCCTTATGGTTTGGGTTTGCCAGCTTATTCATTTGGTTTACTCTTCCTTTTGCCTTCTTTATTGTGTATCCTTTCATCTGTTTTGACATGTCACCATGCCTCTGGTGGCTCATTTTCTTCATTCTCTGGAAGAAATTTTCCAGGCCAAAATGTGGACTACTCATTCTTTTGTCTCTCATTACTTGCTCCATCTGGCTGTATCTTTCTCTGGCGGATATAATTTTCCTTCAGTGGCAATACTCCATGCTCTGGTTTAACTGTGCCTTGGGTAAGTGTAGTTTTTTCTGTCATTTTTTTTTTTCCAGTGGCCTATCCTTGTGTCTTCATTACATATTCGGATTCCACTCAGTGTCAAGGGCTGCCTAGTCAGGTATGCCTTACTTTACAAATAAAGAGAATAAGTACTGCACCTGCTCCCTTTAAGGTTGTAACATATATATATATATATATATATATATATATGCATAATTCTATCATGTACTTGGAGAACCAACACTCTTGGACTGTCACAACAGTCACAAGTAAAGCAGAAGGGGATTTCTTCCTCCTGCCACTCCCTTGACTGAATAAATCAAGAGCTGTCTGCTTTTCAAAATAGTATTTTGTGGTCACTCATTGCACTTTTTCCAGTGTATCATTCCTTTGGACTCCCCACTGCCTTTTACCATTCCTTCCTTACCACTTTACAGTTCCTAACTGCTGGGGTGGTGGACCATGGAGGCTTCCTCTGGAGTATAACATACATATAGTAACATTATTTATCTCTTGAGGGGGAGGGGAAAACTGGGAACCCGCACTCCTTCTCCCTCCTGGGTTTTTGTTCGCGGAGGTCTGATGTAGGATGGAGCTAAACCAGCCACCGCTGAATTCTCCTTTTAATACTGTGTTTAGGTTTATAGCACCCTGTTCCCACGGTTGAGACTGGTAGATGCCCCCTATCCCACCTTGGTAATTCCACTTGCAGGATGAATTTTCCTTGCTCCTAGAGTTGAGCTCAGGGGAATTCTGCTTCGTAATGCTGGTTGTGAGATGTATGATACCCTGTTCCTATGGTTGAACAGATGTTCCACATCTTACTCATAATACCAGGTGTACGTGGTTTTCTTCTCTGGTTTTATGGTTGAGTGGATCGTGTTCTTTTCCTGCTTGTAATATCAGATACAGGATAAATCCCTGTTCTTATGGTTGAGTTGAAACTTAAACACTACCTCATAATTCTGGATTCAGTTTGATGTACTTCGTGTCTCCTATAGTTGATGTAGAAGTTGCTCTGGTGATTGCCATTTGCTTATTTTCTCATTGTAATTCTGGTTGCTTGCAGTATAGCACTCTGTTTACTTGTGGTTGGTGTTCCTGTATATATATTGTTCATAGTTTGCTTGCCCTAGCCATGTTACATTGTATATACTCATTTGATTCTTTGGCACTGTCCTCCACCCAGTAATACCAAGGGTGGGTTTTGAAACATCATCTGTCGGGTTGGAGTTGAGGAGTCTTGCTCCAATGGTTTCCAAGGCCATTCTTTTGTGGTTTAGTCCTCAAAGCTGCCCATTTCACAACACTTCACTTTCTCAAGGGCAAAAGGCATACCTGTTCCTTTAGTGTTCAGTTACTGAGCACACCTGTTTGATTCTTTGTGGATGCTTTCCATGGGGAATCTCTTACTTCTATTCTACACTGGTCCCTCCACCTACCCAATGTGGAATTCTAGCTTTTGTGTGAGAAGAGGTATGTATCGTATTGGAAGTTATAATTTTCCTACACTGAAAATAGATTTCTTATAGATACTTCTCACACTTCCTTCCCACTTCCAATATTCTCCTATTATCTGGTGTGTCTAATCTCGAAAGTGAGGTAAATCAAATGTAATGCAGAGGGAGCCAGCTGCTCCAGGAGTGTGTGTCATGCTCCTGTTGGTGGAGGGTCGTCACATGCACTATGAGGAAGTGATGGGATACAAAAGCTAGTAAGTAAAGCAAGAATAAATTTATTTTCAATGCATTAGAGGGCAGATGAAAATTGGGAAAAGCTTCACTGTGAAGGGAGGTATCTACCAGAAATCTATTTTCATTGTAGGAAAATGATAGTTTCTCCAATCCTCAACCACCTGCCCACTCACTCTACATTGACATACCAAAAATGAGATAGAGGCTTTAGTAATAATAATAATAAAGCAAAGTAAAACAAAAAATACGTGTTTAGCATCCCTGTCCACTTCCTTTTTTGCAGCTGCCCCCCCCCCCCCCCCACTTTTTGGCATTTTTTTTTCTTTTTTGAATTATCATTTATCGATTATACAAAGAAGACTTCTGAAAAA